ACATGAAATGTGTCCTTCAATAGTTTCCTTAATCCATATTGTTTTACGGTTCTAAAAAATAGATTGCTATAATTATGTGGTTTGATTGTATAAATGGTGAATATCGAATTATAGAGATTGCATTTTTCTTTCGATTGAGTTCATCCCTCGTAGCGACTTCACCCACGTACATGTCAAGTTTCTTGATATTCGCATTGAAGAAGCGTATACAGATCTATCAATAATGGTTTTAACTCGTCTATTCTCCAGGCGGTTATAATGTATTATTAATTGAGCTTGAGTTAGGTCTACAGTAGATTAGTTTTTACTTTATAGACATCATTTACAGGTCTTATTAGGTTTCCACATAAATATGTTGATAACATTATAATCAGTATTGTACGTCGGAAGATAAAACATTGACCAGGAACAACATACATTGCAAATACACCCACTTTTACAAGTATAACAGCGTATGTTCTAGATGATCCTTGACCTTGTGGTGATTTTGAGTTGGGGTTTGTGAGAATCCCTGTTCATTTATCTGATATACACGAAAGTATTTGCCACCGTTTCCGACGTTGTGCTCAAATATTTTGTACCTATTGCAAATGTTTAATGCTCTATAATTGGTTCCCCGGTTATCTCATGTTCCAACCTGTCTCGATTTTCCCGTGTTTCAATTACAGCTAGTTCCAGAAACATATAATGGCAAATGAACAAAAGTTTTCTTTGTGAATACTGCCAGACGTCCGACTGGAAAAAATAAGCCATTGAACCAACATAAAGTAATAACCTAAGCTAATTATATAGGTTAATAAACAGGAAATCTATTTAATTGGACTTACCTTGTAGCTAAGAAACTTGAAAGACAAACCATGATTTCATATTCCAGCTAAATTGATATAATAATCCACAGACATGCGATATCCACATATATAGATCACATATAAATGTATTTTATCTCGTACCAAGTAATTGGATTAGGTGATATGAACTATACATTGTTGGTAAAGAATAATAAAGCTTTGTCAATAAGTGTCACTCCTGAAACGAACTTGTAGCTTCAGAAACACTGTAGAAGAATGAACTTTAGAAATCGTTCGCTTCTTGCGTTACAACGTCAACGTCCTATGATATTAAAAGGATTAATTGAATTGTCTGTATGTCGTTTTAACAGTTGTTGCTTTAAAAGAATGCTCTCTTTTTATATGTTAAGCCATTTAGAATCTAGCAATCGATATTTTAAAACGTAGCTCAGATATTAAGAATTGTTATCTGATACTGCACTCCCCAAGGACTGTTTACATTGGCTGACCATATAAAAGACTCATTTGAATTTAGATGCTTGCATCAGATTAAGATGTTGAACTACATCAGTTATTGTTGCACAATGTCCTCTCTGTAGTTCAGTAATTCCACGGACATGTTTTGTCTCTAGCGCTTGGTTAGCTATCTGGTAGCTCATGGACGACTCTTTTATTGAATTATCGAAGATGGCCACAAAAACTGAAGAAACACAATGATAGATATGGGAATTCGTCTATCTATTTTAGGTCAAAATCATTAAGTTAACTCGGATCCTTTTACAGGCGATACTGTGGTTATTCTTGAGATTATATTGAATCGTGCTACTAAAAGTACCATTCATTATAATTTGTTCCAGGAAGAATGGACCTGTTCTGTTTCGTTAGTGGTGGATGCAATGAAGCCACATATTTTACTGCTTATTCACAATCTTCTTGAAGAGTGGTCTGGTATTTCTACTGCTTCGGAACAGCATTCTAGAGCATAAAAAGAAGTATAAACACGAGAACGATTCCTTATTGGATTATAACAGTACAGGGGAGTCTCCTTATCATTATCGAGTGATCCTTATCCTTATCGAGGTATAACAGTGCAGAAGAACCTCCTAATCCTTAACTAAGTATAACAGTTTACAGGATCATCCTAATAGGCCTACTTATTGGGGTATAACATTGGAGAAGAACATCATTATCCTTATCGCGGTATTACGGTTTACGTAATCATCTTCATCCTTTTCGAGGTATCTATAACAGTGCAGAGGACTTTCTTATACTTATCGGGGTAGAACAGTTTAGATGAACTTTCTTATACTTATCGAGGTATAATAGTGTAGAAGACTATCCTTGACCTTATCTAGGTATAACAGAGAACAGCCTTATCCTAACCGCATCCTTATCGAGATATAACAGTGTGGAGAAACATCCTTATCCTTATCTAGATATAACGGTTGTGTTTTGAATGTTATTTAGTTCGGATCGATAGATTATCTACTTTCTCCCACTACATGAAAAATTAATGATATCTTAACACAGTTACGATTGTATAGAATCTCAGTCGATTTAGAACCCGTCTGATAATTATAGAAAGGATCAAGTCAATTACTAGATATCATTGGAAATACAATTACATCCACACCTCCAACACGAATAATTCTTGTGGAAAATATTGACTTCCTTTAATGAAAAAGAAACTCAATTGGAAACTGAAATTCAAGAAATTTGACAATAAGATGAATTAAATTTCTAACATTCCTTCCATAAATGAAAAAGAAACTGAGTATCTGCTCAATCAAAACTGAATTTCAAGAATTTTGACAGTAAGTGTTGACAATCATGCAACTAAGTCGAGGTCACCTCGTTATATTTCTCGTTTGTCCAACCACTTTACGGTAGTATTCCTTTGATAATATAAAACAGTGGTATCATTTATTCCATACTGATTCTACAGATAAATATACTGACAACTAATCTGGCTCCAGACAGATCGGGATTAATAACAGACTAGCTAGTTCTCAAACATAAAACTAGAACACAATATTGCGCATATCACAAAAACCTTTACACATAAATAATTAAATACAGTAAGTCTACTGTAAATTACTAGAACTTTCTCTTTGGATTTGTTTACAATTCTGATTGATTCGATTAAGATCACGCAATCGTGCTCCAGTGAGTTTCTTGCATCAAGGGCTTTTTAAATGTTATAATAACACGAGAAGACACTAATAATTGTTGGCGAAGATCTTCAGCATGGGTTCAAATTTCGCGACAGATAAATAATCCTTTCAAAATAACCTTGTGTATTTTTTTTGTATACTGTGTTTATCATCAAAAACTATAATCATCAAATATGAACCTAATTAAAACACAAAGCTTAATTAGTTCTAAACAGCATATATATCCAGTGGCATCCACAACATCTTCCAGATATTTACCCGGAAGTACCTTCAAGGACACATTATAGTGTAACTGCCCTGGGGCATTTATGTCAGACAGTTTCCGGCTGTACAACAACCACCAGTATCAAGAAAACTACTCCTGTTTTGGCTTTCAAAAAACCAGTTCCTAATAGTCTAACACTCCAATTGGCTGAAAATCACCAAATTAACTTAAGACTGAAAATGTCTGTAGGCAGCGTTTAAGTTACACGAGTAATAAACTGTATTATCCAATTCCACACTGTGAATGAATATAAAGTCAAAGTTTTAGTTGTAAGGAGAGAATGTAAACAAAACACGATGAAGTTGAGTTATTATTCGTCCAACCAGACGAAATATCAGTCATTTTATTGATCAATGAGGAAAGGATGGTTTGGTTAAAGCCATGCTTTCTAGCTCGACGTTAACATTTCTTTTTCTATACTTGGTAGTATTCTAATGGGATGATGTTTTCGGTAAACAAAGTTCTCTTTTCAAATATTATTTTCAATAATTTTCAAAAGAGGCAAATTGAGACCTTCGAGTTAATGGAGTTTTCACACCAAGAGTTTTATGGCTATTTGTCATTAGAGTGGTTAAGAGTTTGGAATGTCAGTCTTTCAAAAATGTAGGCGGTAGTACAAGAGCCTATCTGATCATTTATGGTTATTGAAAAGACTGTGGAGTCTTTAGAATACCAGTTTTCCCATCATTCCTGGTGGCAGAAGGAGTGTTAGATCTTGAGGGTATCCGTCCAGCCTTACCACCCTTGTTGGCGTAGAAATACTTTTAGGTCTGTGGATTACCAGTCTTACCATTATTGTTGGGGGTAGAAAGACTGTTAGGTCTGTGGATTACCAGTCTTACCATTATTGTTGGTGGTAGAAAGACTGTTAGGTCTGTGGATTACCAGTCTTACCATTATTGTTGGAGGTAGAAAGACTGTTAGGTCTGTGGATTACCAGTCTTATCATTATTGTTGGAGGTAGAAAGACTGTTAGGTCTGTGGATTACCAGTCTTACCATTATTGTTGGTGGTAGAAAGACTGTTAGGTCTGTGGATTACCAGTCTTACCATTATTGTTGGGGGTAGAAAGACTGTTAGGTCTGTGGATTACCAGTCTTATCATTATTGTTGGAGATAGAAAGACTGTTAAACACAAGTAGTGTTTAATATCATCTTTCAAGAAAACTATATGTTATCAACGTCTCGAAGTCTATTCAGATATTCTTTTCACACCAGGGGCTAGTCTCTAGATCTGCAAGAGACTTCGTTGCATTTATAATCTTCACATCTGATTCTGTCAATCGTGTGGGTTGATATAAATAAATTATTGAGACAGAGTCTCCATATCTACACGTTAGAAACGTAACCTATAGGCATTTTCCCTTTTACAGAAAAGAATGCAGCATGTTAGCGATTTTTTTTCTATAATTTGATAGAAAACATCAAAACAGCACGAGATGTGAATTTTACATATCGTTTATACGCTTAATTTAACGTATAAAAGTAAATGCATTAACTCAAACGAAAATGAAGTCCTCAAAGGTGTACTTTACTAATTTACTACTGGTGTAACTCTGCCAATAAAAATGATTTCACAGTACATCAGGATCTAGTAAAGTACATCAGCCTATAGGAAGGGACATGAAGATTTCTGTGGCAAATTTCATTCACTGATTATATAGAGGGAATAGAAATTTCAGAGGTTTTTAAGGATTGGGATGTTAATTTATGTGGAAAAACACTGCAACCAGAATGATTGGTAATTTACCAATTATTAAAACAATTAAACATCTCCATAGATCGATTTTATTAAAAATATATTCTAGGCATTGACTCCATAAAACTCAAGATAATAATGAATATATATTATACTACAGAGATATAAAGATATAAATACACACAACAAAACAAGACTTAAAAATTGACAATAAAACTTCGAGTAAAATAAAATTGTTCATTGAATTTGGCTGCAATACTTGAAAACCCTCGTTAAATGCTGAAGATATAAAAATCGTTGATAGAGTCAATTATAAAATAAATAAATAATGAAATCCATTCCACACAATAACAAAACTTAAATTCAAAATATAACAAACTTTGTATTCAAATTCAAAATTGCTTTTCAAACTAATGCCTGTAAATCTTTACACATCAATAATCAATATTTCTGTCTTAACAGAATATAACTTGAGAATTAATTTATCCACTAACTTTTTGGCACCTGAGCCAAATATTCATTAAACATTTTGTACTCAAGAAGTTAGTAAAATGCCCAAAATCAAACTGAAAAAACTTGTATAATCAAATTAAAAGCAGCCCTGAGAAGAAGTATTTAACATCAAATAAAACTATGTGGAGACTATAGAGTATTATCATCATTCATCTGATTTCTTCCGCACACTAAATACATCTAGGTAATAAGTAGCACCATTATAAGTTATAATAAAAAAGATAAAAGCTATAAATACAGCATGAGCTAGGAAACAGTTGTACCAGATAATACTTAAAGTCACTGATACCAGACAATAGATCCAATTAAACACTACATACAGTACCACTCTATAGCTAAAAATAAAAGCAGAGGACATATTTAAAATCTCTAATGTTGTCATAAGAGTATATATTCATCAGTACAGAATCCCTGTATAATTCAATTTTTTTTAGATGTGCTCAATGAGTAACTGTTGTTTTACGGATAAATACTTAGTTTTATGGATATGTTGGATTATAGAGGGATTATGTTGTAAAGTTATGATATGAAACAAAACTCTCATAACCCTTGTAGCACATAGATAGTTATAACTGTATCAGAAGAATATCAGTTAGATAACAAGATGATGGGACAAGGGGAGACTATTTGTAACTTTTTCAGGACATTAATATATAAAACAAAATGAGGAAAATGAAATGAAATGAATGGAGTTTTATGTCCTACTTTTCTGCACCATGTGGGCTAATGAAGACGGGCAATGCCATGCAGGGTGCAATGAGGGAAATTTTGCCAGGACAGCGGCATTAGCCTGCTCTTTTTTGATTTCCAACTGTCGAGGGATCTTTAACGTGCACAGCCTGTAGCACACAGGGCCTCGGTTTATTGTCCCATCCGAACAAAGCTTTTTCCATGTCAGCCCCCCGTACCTCTATCACTGACAGGGGGAACCCAGGTTGAAAAATCCGAAGGTATTATCTCGACCCATGCCGGGATTAAACCCTGGACCTTCAGGTTAGCGAGCAAGCGTCTAACTCACTGAGCCACTGCGGCTCCCAACAAAATGGGGAAAAATTTGCATAAAATAATTTCGTGATAGTGTACACTCTCATTAATATGAATGGAATGAAACATTCTTATAAAACCTGCACAGCTGTTTCCCTTTTTATTTCAATTCAATAAAAATGATAATAATTCTGATAATTATGACAGATATTATGAATATTTTTTACTTACTTGGGTCCTAATAAATCAACAGCTTTAAACATGAAACTAGATTCTTGAGCAGTCAGACATTTATAACTGGTTAAATATTCTTCAGGTGGTGGAAATATACTGGTCAATATTGAATGTAATATCTGGAAAATGAAGATCATTAACTTTAACATTTTACAGCCCAAACCAAATGTCCTGATGAGGATTTTGTATCTGAAACATGTATCCACAAGATGTTCTCTAGATAATTATCTGAAACATATATCGGCAACACAACAATTTAGTCAATTAGATATTATTCAAGAAATTCTTTTCGATTTCTCAGTACTGTTCAATGAGTCATCCAATTTAATTAGCTGTCCTGATGAGGATTTTATATCTGAAACACATGTTTGCAGCAGGAGATTAGTCAACAATACATGATAGTTATGCGGAATGAAAAATCTTAAAAGACATTTAACTGATCTGTCCTGTATCTATTTGTATACATAGTTTTATCTAATGGCTACTACTTACACTGTGTAGGACAAAACCAAGAAAAGGAACTACTATCAACCACTGTACAGACCAATTATTAATATCTGGTACAAAATCTTTACGCCATTTCATTGAGGTATCTTCTGAATACCATCTTAATCTATAAAATAACTATCACTATAAAAATACAGAACGATTTCAGACTATATATATTTCCACTATATATATGTCGATGATTTGAATAGTTAGCAGTACTTAAGACGACCTTCACCACTACCTGGACCAAATTTTACAGACCACAATTAATTTATCTTTGACATATCCTGGATGGAGATTGTAGAATTCAGATAATTTATTGGATCAACTTTAGATAAATTGAACCAAAATCTGAAGACAAAAAAACAAAACAAAGAGAGAGATACTATAAGCTTATGAAAAGCTCACAATTGGAGATCACAACAACTTACGCAAAAGAGAGAAAAGCTGGTAGTGTATGAATGTAGACTGATGTTACTTTATCAACACTGTGTAATACCAGAGAATTTCTAAATATAACAGCTGCCCATAATAACGGACCATTAGCTACTGCAAATGATGCCATAAAAATATTCCCATGTTGAGGCCATATCCTGCAATATTACAAGATTAGGTAAGAAACTCAGTCATGTACACATCCAATGAACGAAATGGACAAAATCAGAAATATATGAGTTAACTGGATCCATTTAAAGTCAAGATGGTGTTTGTAGAAATAATTCGTCCATTTTGTATTTGGTCTGCTACTTAAAAAAAATGTTGAATGTGCTAGAAGCAAAAATCAGCACTTTCTTAAGACTAATACCTCATGCGCATTATTATCAAGAAGCCATGATGATTTAAATAATCAAAACTTACCAAAGAAATAAATACCACAGTACGTTACCATAGTAACAGAAATCTAACAAAAAATAATTCCATTTGTACTTCCTTTTTTGGGGAAAAAAGAAATAATTGATGGTTTTAAAATCTAAAATAATAGTTACAAATGACCAAAGAAAAAAAATTATTAAATATTTGTCTTTTTCAAGGCTTCAGCTTGTTCCAGAAGGGTGAGGGCTGAGGGCATATTCAATATTTCTTCATTAACTTGGGTCAAGGGTCAAAAGCACTGGCAGAGGAATCAGAATCTTATCTTCAGGTAGATTTCAACCTTATCAGACAACAACTAGAATGGTCAGAGTTATTTATGGTATAAAAATATATTGATATACAAAGACAACAACATCTCATCTCAATTGCGCCAAAAATGAATTGTCTGAAAGAGAGTACTTACCAGTATATGATGGTTCTAATTAGAAGGAGACATGGAGTACTTATAGTATAATAATATGGTAACAACCATTGTGAAGCCATTAAACTATGTGTCAATAGGATAATAGTACCTATTGATATCACATACACTAATTTTTCTTGAAGACGTTTCTTCTTGAGTACCTAAGACAAAAAAATAAGTAACTCATAAAGTAAGTCTTTTCTAGCATACATCCTAAGTGATTGTTGAGCAAATATATTTAAACTGTCTCACTTTCACTGCTATAATTGTAGATGAACTTGAAGGCACATTATTGTTTTAAAAAGTGAAATAGATAGCTAAAAGACTATTATAAATAATGATAATTACCAAAAGAAACTCTCTAAGATCTTGCTCCTCTAATGACAAATGAGCTTTAACTTGTTTCATTCGGTCAGACATCTTTTTGATATGTTTTTCTACGCCACTCTCTCTGGATGTACCGGTACTGTAAGATCAAATAAAGAGCATTAAAAGAGAATATATAATACTATAAAAAATATAAATATCAAAACAGAACCTGAGACATGAGTTTTACGCTGTGCAGTCATTTCATCAACCACTAATAATGAGAAATCAGAATTTATACAAACCTTACTGTCAAAAACTATTGAATCAACAGTCAAATTCTGAACACAGAAAGCAGATTATTCAAAAAGTATCTCTAAGGCCAGAGGCTATCAGTAATTCTTACTTATAGTTTTGGGTTTTCCTCTTTGCATCTTCTTTATCAACCATCATGGATCCAGGATATTTAATCTGAGCTGCACCTCTTAATTCTTGTCAGAGTATAGGCTACTAGTGGAGATAATAATACATTGTTCAGAACAAAATATAAGATTTTTACCAGTTAAGTACAAGTAAAGGGTTTGAAAGAACAAAAGGGATAGCTAATAGTCTTCAGCTATATTTCGACTGGGCCTCCCCAAATGACATAATTGCCACATTCAACTTATCAGTCAGTAGCAACAACTATTTTATTGACAATGGTCTGATGGAGATGCCTACCCTACTACAGTTATTTATTGATAGCATATTCCAAATCAAATGGTATTTAGGCTATTAGCAATTCGCCACTGAACGAAAATTTTGGCTCTGTATGTAATTTAGAGACAAATTATTTTTTTGTTTATGAAAAGTTGAGAACTGATTAGCTATAGGATTTTCTGTCGATTACAGTAAAAATGACCTTCACCTTTTTCCAATTTTCATTCGGCAGTCTTCGTTTTTATTTTTGGTGGAAGCCATAGAGTTATACTATGACTCTATGGTGGAAGCTAATAAAAATCAAAAGAACAATTGATTAGGCATAGACAGTTATCGATTCAAATCTGTAAATATTGGCTGTTTTAAGAACTGAAGGTAGGCCTAAATGATTATTAATAAGGCAGTATGAACCACCGACCACTAATTTTTCTTTGGGTAACTCCTACAAGTATTCTGCCTCCAGACAACAAATAAATACTTTCACTTCTAAGGTGTCATCTTTTAAGTTGTGTGGCAATACTTTTTTCTTTGTAGCTTTGTCCCTTTTGAGCAATTGAAAAAACAAATCTGGATTTTTTTTTTGTTAGCCATACTATTACAAATTTCTGTTGGAATTCTTGGCTATGATCTCCATTCTTAAGGATAAAATAAGAATAAACTTTGGGGTTAAAAATTTATTAACATGAAGGTAAATAATAACAACATAAAATCAATAACAACCAAGCAAAAAGTTAGATATCACTGCACAAAGCCTGCAAATCACAGGACAAAGTTAAATTATTAAGCTATTAAGTACCAATATCATACACTGAAAAATATTTTGATATCATCAAAACCAATCTAATGAAAATAAAGATTCAATTGAATTTTATGTTAAAGAGTTTTTGTAACTCAGTAGTGGAGAGTATCTTAATCTCAAACAATTATACACAAAGAATGTGTTTTCATTGAGTTTGTGTATTCAAATACTAGTTTTGAGTTTCTGGCATGAATCTATGAATTTAAAGCTTAGACAAAACAGTTGATGTGTTAAGTTGGAATAAATCATAAGGCTGACAGAAAATACAGAATGGATTGCAATAAGGAGGAACTTTATTTCAGTCAAATGTAAGTGATCCCTTAATTACTTAATCTTGGATGATTTCCAAGTACATTAGTTCATTTGTTTCAACTTGGTTTTATCAAAACAAACACATTTACAATCACTTTTAAAGCATAGAAGGTTATGGTAACAAAATTAATGCAAAATTAAATAAATACAAAACAATATTGCCTTTAGTCACAATAAAATGTTAAATGGAATGTTAAATCAGGTCTCAGTAGTAATTATAAAATATAAATAAATTATATCACACAGTTCAAATAACATATTCTTATGATATGCAGAATGTGGTTTAGTTTAAATCTGAATAGTGTTACAAGGTAAAATTCAGGATAAATAAATTGTAATGAAGTTTCTGAAACTTTATATGTGTATCAGGGATACTGTTTGCACCATTTCAATTTTCAATCAGATGTCTGTGGAGTAAAATTCCACTAAAAGTGCTTTATGACATCACTAATGCAAAGGGATGTCATCAAACACTTAGTTTTAGCAAAATTTCAGGAACCACAGACGTCTGAATGAATATTGGAATGGTGTAAATCCAAGCTTACAGTGTCCCTGATACACTTAAAAGATTAGAAAACACATTATGTCATTATTATGATTATTTTGATTATATTCAGTGGAAATGAATGTCACAGGAATTCTGAATTAAATATCAAATATGAGACAAATTTGGAAATGAAGCCTGATATAGTAAAATGGTATATTAAAGTATCACATAATACATGGAACATCTTGATCTTTAACAAAAAACAAACAAAATAACAAATGTGATCTTGGTAATGAAATGACATCACAGTGCTAAATTTTGAGATTTATTGATAATATGGTTGATATAAATGGCAAGGATAAGCAATGCCTAACTAAAGGCTTCAGAAAGTAAACTATATATATCTGAGTTATTTCACATGAGTACCGGTAATCTTTTAACTGAATACAAAAAGAGCTTTTTTTTTTCAAATTTTAGCCAGATATACCAGGACGAACACTAAATACATCTAAATAAAATCTGGCCCCATTAAATGTGATAACAAGAAACATCAATGAGAGATAGACAATATGAGCTATAAAATAGTTATACCACAGTATCGTCATGGTAAATGATGCCAGACAAAATAACCAGTTGAATATTAAATACAGCAGGATTCTATATCTGAAAAATATTATCATAGCTTTATATTTACAATTATTACCAAATCATAGTTGCATTTGAGCCATATTTTTCATTTAATGAGCTGGTCATTTCTATAGAATGGTGCTCATCCATATATAGTTCTAATCATCTGTAAGGGTCTGATAAATGATTTTTTGGTAGAAATGTTTGCTGTTTTAGAAAAAATCCAGTAAAATGTTAATTTAAGATGTACCCATCAAGTAATACTAAGTCATTCCAGGAATACAAAGATGCCTTCATATAAACATAAACTTACTTTGGACCACATAAATTGATGGCTCTATAAATGAATGTGGAAGTTTTAGAAGTGAGGTAACGATAACTTGTCTGGTAATGTTCGGGTGGTTTACATATACATGTTAAAAGTGTTACGAGGATCTGAAAAGTGATATTGTAGTAAAAGAAAAACTAATGAGATGTTAGAGACTAGAGTTCAATTTCAGTGAGTCAATTTAACATGCTCATATCATGTAAGTTTTAACTGACATCATTTCAAAGCTATCAGCTGGTTTTACTCTTTCAAAAACCGTACAACAATCTGAAATAGACGTACACTGATAATTGCTTTCATCAATTTCCATGTCATACTATCCAACTAACCAACCAAACATACATACTTACGTTATGGCCGATAAAAGATGCAGCTGGAACAGCCACCAACCAAATAAAAGACCATTCGCTTAACAATGGAATGAAATGACAAGGCCATTTACTGGAAGATTCTTCTGGATACCATCGTATTCTACAAAAATTATTTGATTACAATATCACAAATTAATTAAAATTCGTATATCATTATAGCATTGTTATATTATTTTTTTCCAAGATGATTTCACTAACTATCCATGATCTGAGAAAAATGATATGAATTTTATGTTTGCTCACTAGAATATTTAACCTATCAAATTCTCTGTTTACTCAATCTACTGCCTGTATGGTATTTATGAATAAAAAGTGTATTCGACTGATTTTCTTTTATTTCATGATGACTTAGGTTCAACCAAAAATGTTTTATGTCTAACATGGTCAATTTCAAATATACCATACAAAGTGTATACCATATACAGTATATGTAAAGTGTTTTTTACTTACACAAATGATAGGAAAGCTGGAAGGATATGTATATAAACTGATGTAACTTTATCTATACTATGTAGAACTAGAGAGTTACGATAAATAACCATCGCCCATAACAACGGACCATTGGCTATAGCAAACGCTACAGAAAATAAATCTCCATGATGAGGAGCAATCCTGAAAAAATTAAAAATTTAAGCCTTCTGCATAATCCTATAAGTTGAAAATTGAACCAACATGTGGTTTTGCATCTATCAGATCGATTACCAAAACCCTTGAGGTCTTGTTGTTAAAATTATAACTTAAAGAGGATATAAAGCAAGTACAACAATCTGTAATAACTGGTACATCAATTGGTTGATATTATTGCACTGATATTATTTCAAACATTTCAAAATTGTTCACAAATATTCAAATCATGAAAACTTTTCCCTAATATCAATTGGTCATTTTATTCAAAATTGCCAAGTAACTTACCAAATAAATGCAAACCATAAAATGTTGCCATAGTAACAGAAATCCAAAAGAAAATAATGCCATCGGAATTTCCTACAAGAAATATATATCAAGATTAGGAGATATGATTATCATTATTTATTTCCAGCGATTGATTACGCAACCCTTTTCTGTGCATCTTAAACAATTATAGCTACTATTGCAATATTCAGTTACGTCCACTTTTTCTGCTATGTTAAAGATGATTGTTAAGAAGAAGAGCATTCCACTTACACTGATGTGTACTTACCAGTATATGATGGTTCTAATTAGAAGGAGACATGGAGTACTAATAGTATAATAATATGGTAACAACCATTGTGAAGCCATTAAACTATGTGTCAATAAGATAATAGTACCTATTGATATCACATACACTAATTTTTCTTGTAGACGTTTCCTCTTCAATAACTTAAAATCAATTAAAACTAATGACATATATTATAGGGGTCACTTGCAGGTGAGTTAACTGTACATTCGGGTCACTCGCTTGCTGAGTCAACTGCACATTCGGGATTCATGGAATTACACTGACGTTCAATAAAACAAGTTGGAACAGAGTTCAGAACAGAAAAGTAATAGGTGCAGACAGAATTCAAACTGAGGAAAGGAAGGGAACTGTTCAGAACTCTCCAATGGAGCTCCACCCTGGATGAAGGCACAGAGATTGGCTAGTCTTCCTTATTTTAAAAACTTTCCACCAATATGAAACTTGATTAACTAAATGTGCCTTATCTTTATGTTCCAGGCAAGTAATAAATAAACACAGGAAGAATATAAAACACTCACTGATAAAAAAGCTGCAAGTTCTGATTCTTCTTCCTGACTCAGTCCACTTTCTGTTATCTCCAATTTTGATAAGGTAGATTTGGTTGGTTCAATACCAATACTTGAGCTTCTAGGTATGAAGCCATTACTGTTAAAACACAAAAAGATATCAAACTCAGCTCATCTGATGTATAAGCTTGAGATCTAAGACAGGCACTGCAAATAACTGATCTACATCTTTACTGCTTGTTAGTGAATTAGTTGCCAAAATAAAATCAAATCTGCTGACTTACATGGTGACAGACGCAACAGGTTTGGTATTACCATCATCATTGGTACAGGTTACTACTGTATCTACTGGTTTAACTATTAAAATATTCTGATTATAATTCATGCTCTGTGAAGTCATTTTCTAAAAAAACAAATAAAAATACAAACAGTTGACATTCAGCAATATTCATTTTGACATGAATTCAGATTTTAACAAATCAATTACACATCATGTATTGAGTCCAGATAATTCACATATTTATTTTCTATAAAACTAGAGTGGTGATATCACTTGACAAAAAATTAGCTTGAGAATATTGTGTGACGTTCCAAATCTTGTATCAATATAATATAACACAATTGATATTGTGAGAAAGTTACAAACAAGTTTAGATAAGGCTGTCCCCAGCTTTCTTAAGAGGAGTCACTGCTAAGGCAAGTTAAGAATAGAAACATGTACTGGTATTTCTTCCTTGTCAAATCAGGTTACTCTTTACATTCTGAATCGACACTATATTAGCTATAATAAAAACAGTCTAATTACCTTTACATTCTTGATAAGTTGACCATCTTACTTTATCTGTATTTACATGTCATTTACCGTTTGACCAATTATCACATAATTTTCAACCTTTGTACTAAGACCATATAAATAGAGTGAGTTACTGAAGATGAACTGATCAAGGGTCCTGACTGAAAAAGATCAAATTTATTTACAGACTTTTTCCATGTTAGAACAAAAGTATTTTCATTCTAAAACTGCAAGAGAGAAAGTTATTGAGGAAGCTATATCACTTTATGTACATTAATATCAGGTACTAGTTTTAGCTTTAAGTCAATTTGAATCAAAAACCTAAAAGAAAAAGTCACAAACCGTCACAAAAATGCTTGTGAATAATAATAGTCGTTGTCATCTCAAGCCACCTCCATCAGTCACTGTTGACCATTGGAAACTGTAGTCAGGATTTTTTTTAACTGACCACTGAGGTAGAACAGTTGGTTATGGTTTGACAGAGGTTTACATTTGCCATTAATTTTAATGTCTGAAACTTCTGCTTGATGTCACATGCATCTATTCAAAATTGTCCACCGTCTGGTGATAATGATTAATCAATATTTTTATGAATTGGCTTCCTTTATTTTAGCCTAAACTTTTTATTATATCATCTCATTAGTTTCTATCTTATAATTCAAAACTGCATGATTAGCCTAATTGTAGTTAACCGAATAGCATACATGACATGTGTCATAAACTGTTATCAAAATTTAGGTAGGCCTGCAATCTTTAAATAATATCATAAACTTTATCTACCCTTTCAAACCCACAAATATAAGTGATAAGAAGGCCTACCATTGTCAAAACTACCATAGTGCAATAAAATAGTAATTGTTATCCATGATAAGTGTGTTGTGTTTATCATGAAGTGCGTATATGAAGATAAAGTTAACAGTGACTATGGAAGCTATGAAGATCAGCTTATCAAAGTTTGGCTAGGTAAAATAATCGATGAATTTTAAATTTTGATTACTGGTAGGCCTATTCAACATCAAATTTCATATAAGACTAGGCCTACTACTAGATGTAATTTGTGTTGAAATGTTATGTTTTTATTATTGTTATTAAAAGTGTGCATATTCCATAATATTGTCTTGTGTTTGTGATATCAAATTTCATAATTGGTTAAATGACAAAATTACATTTCTCTCGTGTACGGTACCCATCCTAACCTCTTCCATTTTTCTAAATTATATTCCTTCATCGTGTGGAATAATATAAATAATGATGAATTTTGCAACATAAACATAACCCTTTTGACATAAGACTACGTACCCTATTTTCATGGAGAAATAGTCTGTTATCTATGCTTCTCCAATTACCTACATGTAAAATGTAGGATAAGCACCCCCCTAGCCCTTACCTGTTAATCAAAATATCTCTGATGTTGATAATGATAGGCCTTCTTTTTTTTTAAGGGCTAATCAGACCTTTGGTTCGATTTTTATGCCTAACGTCTAGGGCCTAGCTTTTAACAGTATGAAATCAATTCTGGCCAATTCCTGAAAATATTCTCATTTCAATGCAAGTCAAGGCAACTTCAATAACGTTTCTAAGTTCTTTAATAAATTATCATCTGCAATCATGTCTGTGGAATCGACCTTCACCTTGATAAAATATTCGGTTGTCCGAATGATCTTGATTTATCTCCCTTTGATAAATAACCGACTACGGACAACAAGGCATTTCTCATTGGCATAAATTAAAATTTAATTGGACCCCGTGGATATGCTCACCTCCAAAAAATATAATTTTCAACCCCAATCCAGTCAAAAGCACCAAAAAGACAAAATTGGAATAACCAAAGGGGTGGACCTCAAACCCAAGAAATTAACTGTTTTTTTTCTGTCTTCTCAGAGATGATATACTTTGGAAGGGTACACCGACACACACCAAAATGATTAGAGCCCACCCATCTCATACTGCTGACAAGTTGCTGCTACAGGATCAATTATTAGATAATGGTTGGGGGTGGGGTATAAAAATAAGGCAATTAAATTTGAAAATGTTTATATACAACACATTACAAACAAAAATGTAGGGTGCTACAAACAGGTTCAATAGTAAAAGATGTTTAAAGGTGACTGTACAAAAATTGAAGATAGAAATAGAGCTATAACATATGTAACTTTACAACTTATTTTCAGAACATTTCTCTCAAAATTTTGATATATGGGTCAACATAGCTAAATAAAGTCACCCATTTGCAACTGACTTTACCATTTCAATAAAGAATATTGAAATAGTTTAAGAATTTGAGGTATTCCATTCAAATGTTTATCCATGGTTTAGGCCTACAACATTCTATAATCTTTAAAAATGCACAAATATTCCAAATTTACATAAATTTACTTCAAAAGGGATCCTTGAAAAAGTGCCTTAAGTTTCAGAAGAAAAAAGTCTTTAATACCTTTTATTCACTGGTCATCAGTAGGGAATGTAAACTAATGTATAAGATCTATGGTTTGTCATGTGTGAAGATTTCTATCATAGTGATTCAAATGAAATGCAAATTTTTACACTAAGGTGTCAAAAAATCTAAATATGGGAAGAAACTCTTTTGGAAATAATTAAGAATTCGTCAAAAAATGGACGAGCAAGATTTCTTTTAAAATTGGTTTAGATAAACTGGATGACTTTCCCATAATTTATAAGGGATACAGATGAGTGTAATAAAGATTTAAAGAGTAATAGGAAAGAACAATAACCATGGAAAAATGTACACTACTAAATCATGGACTATAAACAATTTTTAAAAAATTCTCTCATTTTGGAAGATTATAAATAAAAAATATACAATTATATCCCAAAGTCTCAACAAACAATCAAATAAACAAATAAATTAAATCAACAAATAAATAAATTTGTCAAATTATTGGTTTCATAGTCGAGGTACAATGTATATATTATGCACAATTATGGAAAGTTACAAACATAACTGTGTAGGCCAACTTTTTGAAAAAGAATATGTTGTCATAAAAACAGTTTCGGTTACTCTTTGATCACAACAGAATTGATAACTTGTGATCCTTTGAAGCTGACTTTTTTTCATTTCAAAGCAAAATTCAGATTCGTTGACCACAACGTGCACTGTTGATAGGTCTATGTTTTTAAACATCTCTGAATGTGCGTAAATATTCTATCCTACATAAAACAAACCCCATTTCTCATTTTATGACTTATCCCTTCAAAACAATGAAAACCACATGTCTAATTTTGTTCAACAATAAATAATTTTAAAGAAAAAAAAGAGAGAAAATCTGTCACCTTTTGATATCATAGAACCCGTGTAACACTTTTGATTTCCTTCCATAGCTTGTTCTATACTCTCTCTCTCTAAACATTTGAATTGAATCTGAGAACTGACCAATTCACATGACTCGTGCCTCAGTTATGATGGTGGTTATTGTCAAAGAGGTGATTCATCAACCATCAGACTAGACACCATGACAATCAGCCTACATGTTTCAAGTTGCTTCAAAAATCAATGAAGAAATTCACAGAATTCTTCACACACAAACACAATTATTTTTCATTTACTTTACCAGTGCCCATACAATTCAGTTGTTAATTTATATACAGTCCAATGATGTTTCTGACCAAAGCGCCAGAACTTTCAAGTTCTTTCCTGTAGTTTACTGGTCACTGGTCAAACATGGTTTCTGAGACACAGAATCATACCTAAACCCAAGTCACCATCTGCAGCACAGACATTTGCTCTTCAAGCCTACAGAGACCTTATTCTTGAAAACTTAAGATGATTTTAGTGTTCCAGACATTTGTCAATCTCCAAAATCAATTTATTTATTTATTTATTTCTATTGTTATTTTCCAATCAGATTGCTGTATTTCTTGAACTCTGGATTTGATCTTAGTTAAGTTTTCATGAATAAGGTCCCAGAAGAAGTGTGTATTTATAAACTTAGTAAATAACGATTGGTTGAATATGAACCTGATAGAAGTTTTATCCAATCAGCAACTTTCATTCATATTCTAGATCCATAATTCTTAAAGATATAAGATAATAATATTCTGTAAACTATTCACAAGTTTAAAAACATTGAAAGTTCCTGATAACATTCTAAGCCAAGTGTACATCATAAACAAATGAATTACTTAGACAAAAATTATCTTTGGGCACAGTTGTTAGTGCCATTTCTTCCAAGCGCTTATTGTATCGCTCAATATTGGAAGCTCGTAGGAGAGACAGCCCTCGTCATCTGATTTAGAGTAAAAATTACCACAGCCAGGTTTTCCCCATTAATTTATTATGTAATCTGTTGTGATTGGATGTAATTATTTATCCATCTTCAATTGATTGAAAAGCTAAGATAATTTGAAACGAAACAAAATGGCACTATGAAAAAAAGAATTCTTCTGTTTTGTTTTGATAAACCATTTGTTTCATGATACACATTTGGCTTTACAAATAACAATAAATAAAACAATATGAAAACTTTAACAATTTTATACACAAAATGGTTTGCAAAGATGGTATTTCTAAGCAAAGGAGTTTTTTCAAAACACAAAACAAGTTGGTCTTGTTCACTAAATTTTAACCATTTTATCAATTAAATAACCATTTGTGGCTTTGAAAGTAAATATTCCTTCACTGAATTTATCAGGATTCCATTCCAAAATTTCTACTTGGCACCTCTCCATGTATATGTCTGATCAACACAAACCAAGATTAAATGTTCTCCATTACTTTGATATATATTGAAGTTTTAGCAAACATCCTGTCTCAGTGACAAGGAAAGTCTTAGAAGTTGGTTTTAAAAAAGGAGAATTATAAAATTCTGGTAGATGTAATATCAAAGCACTGTGTCAAATATTGACATTCCTTTCGTGATATTTTCATCCTAGAAAATAAAGGATAAAAACGATTTTATTATAAGGCATGGACCAATTTGACATATTTGTTCAGACATCCATAAAAAATATCAAGTATAGCAACAATTTTTCACTCATTATCGAGAATAAGTTGCTCTGTAGATTTCCCCAGCCATCAATGATAATTTCAGCCAGGACTAACTCAGAAGATAAATAATGTGGTATTATCTCATACAGTGGTTCCCAACCTTTTTTCAGCCTTCACACCCCTGGAGCCATCACCTGGGGCTTTCACACCCCCAAACTTTGTTTCATCCACATTTCCAGCATGTGATGATGTGAGGTGCTCTCTCAATTCAAAATAAATTCTTCTCCTACACCTGTTGGCCACACCCCTGAGTCCCTAGTCTCACACCCCAATGGGGTGAAATCATTCCAAGTTTGGGAACCGGGAATCTAATAGTTTTCTTACCCTTTTACACGTATCCATAAATTCTTCTAGTGATATCACCCCATCCATATTGAGATCCATTTTCTGAAATAATGATTTTATATTGGAATTGTACAAATTAAAGAATATCGGATATCTCTATTTAAAACAGAATGCCAGAAGAGTCAACTATAAGTAGAAGTTAATACACTCAAAATGACATCAGATTTTGTCCTGCCTCCAAGGGGATTTTAAACTTTTTAATGACTGAGGCATTTAGATCCCTAAGTAAAATCTGGTAAATCAATGACGGACATCTTAATCCAAAAATCAGTTTTATAGAAAAATAGTTAAGTACCTGAAATACTTGATCTACGTGTTCTTTGGGTGAATGTTCATCACAGAGTTCTGAGTATCTCCCTATCATTTCATAGATAGCAGACACTATATCCACCATCTCATCTTTAGTAATAATACCATCTCGATTTATATCGTATAAATTAAACGCCCATTGTAACCTCTCCTGTAACGTGCCTCTAGATAACACGGATAAACCCATTACAAATTCCTGAAAATAAACCATAATCATTGGCATTAAATACCAAAAATGGTGAAAATCATGTAAACTTTGCTACAACTAGATAGACTTACTATCAATCAAGTTAACTTAATCTATTATGCACATGACTTAAAGTGAATGTGTACCTTCAATACCTCTGACATCATATCATTCTGGGTTAAACTCAGTGTTGGTTAGATGCATCAAGCAAAAATTATTTATTGATTCTGTTTACTTGTGTCTCTGTTTTTAAGTGAGGACTCAATTTGTTTCTTACCTCAAAACTGATGGAACCATTGTTGTCATGATCAAACGTACTGAAGACGTAGTGAGCATATTGACTGGAATCTAAAATAGAAACATATAGTTCATAGTTACTTCCCTTTAATTACAAAGCAAACATTCTGGTAACAATACAGGTAAGAATTATGTTTGTTGCAAAATATTTTGTTTTATCCCTCAAAGAAAATTCAAAAAAGTGTCAAAGCATTAGAAGATAAAACAAAATTACAAAATTCCTATTTCGTTCATTGCAACAGTCAGGAATATTACAAAATGAATTCGTGAACAATCATGCTAAAATTTCTTCTGCTCCCATTCCTACAATTGATTATGTAATAAGAGGAGATGTATCAATAGGATTAGTAGGTGAAAGCCAACAAAAGTCAAAAGTTGAAAGGTAAAAGTACTTACCACCCTGAGGAAAGAACTGAGCATAAATATCTTTAAACGTTTCTTCATTTACTATTCCCGTCGGACATTCCTGAAAAAAAAATTAACATTTTCTTAGAGAAATGCTGACAAAAGTCGATTGTTAGCTTTTTTTTTTGCCACCAAAGCAACCAGAGAAGAGTTAAAATAAATGTTTGAGTTGTGTATGAATCTGTTAAGATAAAATGAATTTCAAAAAGATTTGATCCATTTTAAACACATCATATAAACTACCCAATTACCTACTGCAGGGATACATTTCATCATCACATTCAACTTTCAGTATTGTAAAGGTAGATAACATTTTCCTATTTTTCAATCAGTTTTCAAGTATTTTATGTCATTAATTATTTGATTGTTGTCTGTTTTATTGTAATGGAAGCAATATCAGGATGGTATATTGTAATTGATTACCCAATAAATGGTTTTTATCATTATTGTTCTGCTGGTCTCAGTAATTAATGTATTGAAAGAAGTACTAGATCTATTGATATACAGATATACCAGCAAAACTTAAAACATATCACCTAGATTTAGGCACATGTTAACTAGATTTAGGCACAGCTACATTTATGTCTCTCGACCCCCAAATTCATGAACCAAGAACACATAACAACAATAGGACATATGTCAACTAAATTTAGGCACACTTCAACTAGATTTAGGCACATGTCAACTACATCTAGGCATGTCAACTACATTAAGGCACATGTCACCAAGCACATGTCAACTACATCTAGGTACATGTCAACTACATTTAGGTACATGTCACTAGGCAAATGTCAACTAAATTAAGGCACATGTCAACTAGATCTAGGCACATATTATCTAGATTTAGGGAAATATATACTACACTTTGGGCTTTATCAACCAAAATTTGAAGGATTGAAGATATTGACACTACCAGTATGAGCATTCTATGAAAAACAGAATTTTCAAGATATTTACTCATTTACTCCTGCCTACGTTTTTTTTAGGCAAAAGACAAAAGCTTAACTTGTGCCTAATTGGGATATAATAAACCAGGATTGTTCAAAACACTTCAAGGTCGTTTTATTTTTTGCTCTCTCCTAAAGCTAAATAAAGCACTGTAAATTGCCCACTCTAGAAAATGGCTAATTCAGAGATTTAAATTGATCAGTATATCTATTAATTCTAACATCAATTTACACAGCAGGAAAAACCAAGGACAAGCTGCTAGAAATCTATTTTTGTTCAAGAGAATTGTGAGAAATAAAAAATGAAGTAAAGAAGATAAATGGCAAAGATAGTCCACTATTGATCATTTTAACTACATGGTAGATTATAAAGCCCTCCACACATTAGTAGTGGAATCACATTTAGTCATGACTGTGGCTTGAATAGTTCTGAAATTCATTCACAGTTCCAAAAACAACCATCATTGTACTGCAGATCCTCAGTACGATCATTCAGAATGTTGGAAATATTATATAAATAGGTAAGTCATGGGACAGTAAAACTGAACAGCTTTGAAGTAAGAGGTGTATGCTTGAATCTATCTTTTACTTGCCATTATCAAACATACTATGTTTATGTCCCTTTCTGAGAATCCACTTGGCCAGATAAATTTGGCCTTTGAGCATATAAAAAATGTGATTTCAGATGTGTGATATCATGTAATGTGGTACCAGATGAGACACAGGGACATTGCAGATTATTGGGAAATGTCTTGATGGATTCATGTATGATTTAGTTTCATATCGATACCAAAAGTTTCTCAAATTTGCTTTTTGTTATTGTGAAAATTTAAAAAAAAAACTAGAGATTCAATAATGGAACGGAGCAACTCCCATAAAATGTGACCTTTTGAATACTGTGAAGATATCACACTCAAGGACCAGATTTGTCAGGCGAGTATCCAATCACACTATGTGAATGTCCTTTTTCTAGCCATCACCATACAAACTATGTAAATGTCCTTTTACTGCTATAATCAAGCAACCCATGTGAATGAGTCTTGACTAGTCATGAAGTGAACTACAATTTCCTATACTCAAGAACTAATTCTTCTCAGAAATTGTAACAAAAGATTCGTGAAAAAAAAAACACAGTGCTCATCACTGAATCTTTTGAAAGAATCTGAAGGGTGAAATAGCTCAGACAGTCACCTACTTGAAGTTCATTCTGTTAATCACAAATTGATGTAATTTTCTGAAATCAGATCAAATTAACCGCATTTCGCAAGATTTTCGTCTTTTGAATAAGATTCATGATATTCAGAGGGAACTTCAAATGTTTCTTAGCTACAACAGTTCAAACAAAATTGACTTTGGTGAAGAAGGTTAAAATGTTCTTAAGCCAAGAGATCTAATCTAGGCCATGTATCTGAACAGTCACAACAGAAAACAAGATTTGTTCTAGAATTAGCCATATCCATGGCCAATCTATTTAACCATTGGAATATCACTTGTTTCAGAGTTAAACTGGACCACAATGTCAACTAGAATAGAGGTCAAAGGTCATAAGAGTTGCCTACAGGAAGACGTAGAAGTTTTCTCCAAGTAATTAAATGAGTTAATTTCCGGTATCTGTGTATTTATTACCCTAGCTTGTTTAATGATACACAGATAATTTGTCTATAAATCAACTTATTGAAGCTGATCAGATACTGATTGGCTTTTTCTCCACACTGATTGCATTCTCTTATCAGATTCATCAGTGATCTTAAAGATACAGATTAACTATTTCAGACTTAAAAAAAAAAAATGTACCAACGATCTGACGGCAAAACCTGACATCCATATCATAAAAGTTTGGCAATATATGTGTAGCAGCTAATGGACTTTTTGTATGAGAAAGTATGTCAATCATAAATGAGGAAATATTTCATGATGAAAAGTGGTATCAGGTGTTTAAAAGTGTAAGCATACAGTGCCTTATGCCACATCCACCATTGCTGCACCTATCGTGAATCATTTTGGTTTTTCATGAAGAATGAGTCTCAACATCATTGCTTATGATGCAGGACAATGTTTGGTTGGAGTTAAATTATGGATATTAAAAGTCATCTGATGATAATTCCTAAATCTATCATGTATCATTTGGATTTTCATTCACCTTATTCCTTGTGTTTTCATTTTCAGAAGCAATAATAGTACATGAACTCTCATTCCTCTGGAGGCTACTCTATCTTTAGTATGGTTCATGGCCAAAGAGTCAAATAACCACTTGGTCCAAGTTCAAGATTAACTGGTCAATACGGAAAGATTGATGTCAAATATATGAGGTTGATCGGAAATGATGCAGTCAAGGGAGTTTGTTTACATGGCTGGACGGTGTAACAGTAATTAATGAGCAAAGGGTTTATTTCATATATCTTTCTACGCTATGTTTACTACGATTAACAAACCTGTCGTAAAGTCAATACTAATGCTCCATCAAGCTAACAAAATTTACAACTTCATTAATTCCTGCCAAATCTTGCAGACAAAATCATTAAATTGGAGTTCGAAGCATTGATTTCTAGTTCATAATATGAGATCAAGCATGTCTTCCCATCCAATTATCTTCTTCTTTCTTAGAGAGTTTCTTTTCTCTTTTCAAACATACTTGTATTCAAGTTGAGATCAATTTTTTGTCTGCATTTGAAAGATCAAATGTACCAATTGGTACGAACATTTTTTTTCTTAAAGTATATCAAAAGTTAGAGTTCTGGCTATACATTAAGCTAGTAAATCATATCTTATAATTAGTAGTTTGTATCATTATAAGATGAATTATTTGGTTCCTGTCTTGGTGTGCTATTCCATGTGTATTTAGATCTAATCAAATCTTGTGGATATTGTACAGATCTAATACATGTTTTATGTTTGTGGTTTGGTTTTTATCTGTACAATTATAGACAATTGTATTATCTAACTTATTGAACCAATCAGCTTGCTAGCAATAGAAGCTCTATAGTCACTTACGAATACCAAGCAGTCATTCAAAATTAATTTCAACCAAGGTAGAATCCTTTTTAACATATTTAGAGTTTATAAGTTCTTTGTTGATGATTTGAGCCAAAGAAATTCTAAAGAAATTAAATGAGCCATATTTAATGAGTTGGTATCTCAAGGTAGCAATGAAATATCTATCTTGATCTAACAATGAGAAAATAATAGTGACTTAAGTAGAAATTAAACGACAGTCTTTGTGTGAAAAAAATCCAATACCAGCTTAATGAGTCTGAAGACAATTTTCTTCTTTTTTTACTATTTTTTATGTCAGGGACTATATAAAGTAAAGTTATTAATCACTTAAACTGTCTCATTCATCACCTACATTGTATCTTGTTGTATAATTACTGTATATATAATTGTATACTATTATATAATCAGTGTTGTACATATTCCAACTGTTGGTGCTTAATATATCAATTGTAGAGTGATATCTGCAGATAACAGTTTTAATATTTCTAATCTGTGTTGTATATCATTATATAATCGGCTTTGCTTCTGAGTGTTTCTGAGTACTAAATGTGTTTGTATTTTGGTTTGAATTAATTACTTTAAGATACCACATTCATAACTGTATTGAACCTCTATGGATTAATATGAAGAATATTACAATAACAAATATTTTAACTGTTAAAAATATTAAAACAGAACCTGAAACATACTATGAAGTTTCATGCTGTGTGATCTTCAGACAAGTATTATACAATAGAAATCTATGATAAATAAAGTGTGTGTCAATGAATGCTTTCTATCAATTAATAAAAGATTATATCTGTAATACAGTAATCACCAAAGGCACTTCCAACTATCATTTACAAAGTAATATTTAATTAGAACTCTAGGTGATTTTATTTCATTTCAGGAAATATGGCTAGATAAGGAAGTGGCAGTAACTAAGTGACAGATATTGAGAATGACATTCACACTATGCTGTCATAGCAACCAAATTAATCATTTTAAAAGATGGCTGACATTGCAATCGATACAGGGTTTGAAACTGAATAAAAGTTCATAGAATATACTTGAAGACTGTACAGATTCACAATAGTACAAGGTGAAATCCAATGCGACACAGATTGGCATAAAGCTTCAACTTGTTTTGGAAACCATTTAAGTTTTTGCCTATATTTTCCTTTTAGATAATTTTCAACAAGTTTAACATCAGCAAAGAACTGAGCCTCACTGATGCAAATAATCACAGTCAATTTAGATGCTATATTACTATCAATAAGCCTGAATGTTGTTTGTAAGGTGAACTATATTATATAAAACTTTGAGTTGATTTGTAAATACAATCAAAAAATTCTTGTTGTGCAAGGACAGCAAAAACCTTTTAACTTGAGAAGGTCAAAGTACTTCCATTCAGCCACTACCTATTCAAGAGATAAACTATTAACAATATGTGACACTCTGTCCTTCGTTACTTTACAGAAAAACCTCAATGTTTGACAAATGAGTCTGAAAGCTGTTATCAGCAACACATTTAAATGTCACTGGATTGTCTATATGTCAGTTAGAAAATGAAAATTTTTTGTCGTCTGCATCTATTCAAAGACAAATTCAATAATATTCTAAAAATATTCTTTAAATAAGTAATCAAGTCCAAATAAAAATATATTCTACTTTGAGATTTATGTAGAGGAAATAACCAATATCTCTGTCTGACGTTAACATTAAACATCTCACCATAGATGAATTAGTTTTAACAACCTGCAGATTACATACTTTCACTTTGAAACTTTACATTTTGATGCAGGATGCATGTTTTAGAAACTGATACATTTTGGCATCACCAGTCACCAGCAAGAATACGAAACTATGAAGGACGAAAGTTGTTATTTTCAGATCTAGAGAAATCAATTTTGATGGCATTAATGCTATATCCAGAATCTCTGAAAATGTCAAAGCCCAAAAATAGAATAATAATCTTTATTTTTATAAAATGTCTACGAGGCATTAATGTAAAAAATTACATAGATAATTACACGTTTATGGTTTTCTTTTCGTTCTTGAGTTCAACAGCAGAGAAAACTTAAAGGGATTTTAAAGAGGTTTTCTAAACTTTTTATAGGGCACACTGATAGCACAAATTTGCACCATTCCAATTTTCAGTTAGACATCAGTAGGTCATGAAATTCCACTAAGTATTTAATGATGTGTCTATCTCAGCTTCTGCTATAGTGAAGCACTTCTATAAAACCAGACATCAGTAGGAAATTGGAATGAAGCAAATAGAAGCCATATATGGCCACAATGCACATGAAATTAGCCAAAAAAACTCCTTCAAGATATGGAAGCCATTCTTTCCTCTATTTTTGCAGATCTGTATAATGTTTAGGAAAGTAACTTTTTAAGCCATAAATTTGAATATCGCTGACATCAGATCTAATTGGAATGGCTATATTAGTTCCTGTACAATCTAAAAAGTTGGAATGTATAAATTTCAGGAATTCCTACAGGAAATGAGTTTCATCATAAACTTGTCAGATAACATTAATTCTTATTATTTTTTACAAAAAATGAAATCAAATTATTTGTACATTAAATATATTCTTCTTGACAATTACAAGATCTCTGGTAGTAGATTTCTTGCCAGAAAACTTCTGTTTTTACTTCTGAATGTAAACAACTTATAAAATTAGATAAATACAAGAAACTGTAGTAATGATTTAGATTTATACTCTAGATAATTTATAGATTAGACACGTTTCTGTTTTAATAGACCGAGGGGGCTTTCATATCAGGTTTGTTGATCTGGCATTATCTACCTCCATTTTGTCAAATGACATAATTGATTGATCTAATTTATTTGAAGTCTGGAGAGCTCTTTCAACAGACACCTAGCTGTGACTTTCAGAGCACCAGACAAAGTTCAAGTCTTTTATGCCCCATTCCTAATTAAACCAATATACATTATTAGCTTGTGGACTCTCTGCAAGGAATGAAGAATAGACAGTCACAGAGTGGCATTGGGTGTTCAAGAAGGGAGAGCATGACCTGCCTTGACAACAACACATAGCTTATCATTTCAATGGAGCTCATTTTCAATTAAGTCTTTGGTCATGGAGCTTTAAGATAGTTGCAGATTCAAATTCCCATAAATTTGTTCGCATCAAAACATTGGTAAAAAAGTTATATTGATAAATTAGAACTATGAAGAAGATAAAAAACACTGAATATGTTGAATTAATCATTAATATACTAGATCCTATTAAAACATGTCATATCTTTAGATTATCCAATATATACAGTGAATGATGGACAGAAAATCTTTAGACAGTCAATATCATTCTAGAATAAAACTCTCAACTGACAATCAGTTGTCATTCAATACACTACTAATATCATACCAACACGAAAACCTTCTTTAACCTCTTAATACTTGGGTTTTGTTTATGACATTTAATGAAATTCCATACACCCATATAAGATTTAGAAGCCTCATTGCAATTACTTAAAATGCAGGTGAACTGCAGTACAAGATATACATACCACATGTCTAGACACGCACCAAACACAAGTTTCAACCATATATAACATATTCATAACAGACTTGTTAAAACCAATTTATTCAGAAAGAATCTACCATTGCTTACATGGATTACAATATAAGTTCACAAGGATCTTGTCCAGCAGACAGTCCATGGCCAAATCTCTTGGAATTGATTTCTGCCCAATATCCAATGTGTGTGCTTCAGCTCAACCACTTTAAGAGAAAGTATTTGACAATATAGGAACTTGATGTTGACCAGGGAATCATCAAAATATTTTTAAGTATGTAACTTTCAGAATTCATATTGAAAATAACAAAATCCTAAGGAATACATCCATTAGACCTACTACTTCTAACAAGATTCATTCACTTGATTTACTAGTAATTCTAGATACTAATCATCACTTGTAATTTTAATTAATCACTTGAGAGACTTCTATTAACTAGTGCTGACAGTACCTACAGAATAGTTCTACAAAACATACCATTACTATCTCATGAGGTTCAATGACTGTACAGACGAGCTCCCAAATCTTAATTAACACTTCACTTGACATCTTTTTAATCAATCTTCAACAAAGAGTAGAAAATGTAGATCCAATACAGCATTATCTAAGAGGCCACACACACACACATATTAAACATTTTCATAATCAGAAGTTGTTTGCTTTTTATGGTAAACTAGGCAAGATACAAAATAGAATTGACCAAGCAATAATGGCATTGAGGAAAAAATATCTTTCAATAAAAATTTACCAATATGCATTAGCCTGAAGAACAGCATCTTCATATGGCAAAACCTTAAGTTGACAAAGTTTTCTTCAAATCATAGAGGAAACACATTCTGGACACCTGTCAATTTGTCTTAGCACAGCTGATAGAGCAGCAATTTCAAAAAAGAAATCAAAGACATACCAAATTTCATCTTAATAAAAACTATCGTATTGACAAGCAAGAATGGCATCAAATGAGAATAAAAAAAGATCGTGGCTCATTTGAATAACAACCAACTGTTGTAGTAAAAGGAATTTAATATTCTGCATGCCAACAAAGTCTTTGAGGATTGCAGGTCTTCATACAGGCTTTTAATCAGCAATGTGAAAGCAACAAATAGGAGAGGTCTTGTCAGTGTCAGTAAAACTTGGCAGAAACTGATCTCACTTAGCAACATGATCCCTTGATACCATGTAAATCAGGTGGTGCCATCTATAGGAAATAACCTGACAATGCTCAGAAGAAAACATCTCAATATCCACAGATTCTAATGACATCTACTTTGTGTTGATGACAAATTGATAGCAGATTTTCTGAACCAACCAGACGTATATATATCAATTTGGTTTCTCAAAGTCAAGAAATTGTATTGATTTTGTTACTTATTGTGCAAGTTGGACCAATTATAGATAGAAAAAACTAAATTGAAACTTGTAAGAACTTCATGCTACAAGAAAGACTGTCATGTCACTCAAGATGTTTTTTAACAGAGAAGCAGAATATTTTGATATGTAACAATTTGATATTCAGAAAAAGATCACAAGTGGAATTCAAATTATTTGAATTAAATTACTTCAAACACTTCTTCTTACAGATACAATTTTTGACATTTTATGTTAGATGAATTTTGCGATAATAATTTTTTAGGGTTCAGGGTTAGAGTCTGGTAAATAACATTTTCTGTAATTTGTGATGCATGAACATGGTAAATGGAATATATGTGTTTTTAATGGTATATTGTCCTAAAATACTGTCAGTGCAACTTGCTCCAGGTGACCATGATGGAAGAGTGTCAATAGTGTGACTATAGGAGAGAGTGGGCCAACTTTAATAAAATGTGATCCTATGTCATCATTGTGTCCATGGAGAATAGCAGCTCAAACAAGCATCGTCTAACTGTTAAAAGTCTTCAAAGGTTACCTCCCTCTTCTATGACCATCTACTACAAATTTTATCACATGGGTCATAACACAAGAAAAAACTTGTGACAATGAATATCAATCATCCATTTTCATAAATAAACCTTGTCACTAGTTTTAAAAAGGCGAAAGATTCATAAGTAAACTTACCTGTTTAAAGCCTCTATACATGATCTGTAATTCTTTACGCGAAAACTTGGTGTTTCGGCATAATATATCAAGTCCCTCTGGTTTATACCTAACCACTTGCATTTCCAAGTCATCGATATCATTGTCTGAAAAACACAAGATTTTAAAATAAATCAATTGATGCAATTACCATCAGATTTATGTAATTCTCTATGATAGTGAGTTCACCAGTGCAATAGAAAATGTTCAATACATGTTTTTTCATTAAATTGCTGTATATTTTCTGCCTAAGCTGTATATATTTTGACCAAACTTTGACATGTGTAATATGTTTAAAGTTTAATTTGAAAGATTTATTATTCTTGCTACATTAGACATGTACTTTTAAGTTTATTAAGTTACATGAATTTTTATCATATTGCATGTTATTTAAGGAAAGTGCATGTTTTTCTAATGTATGTTAAACTAAGACTAAACTTTATTTTCGTGTTTATTTGAAATAAATTTGGAAGCATCTTTAATCATGATGTCTATTTATATTATATCAAACAAGATAGAATGTATGCTTCAAGGTAGATATATAATCAAGATATACACAGAATCTGAAACCAAACAGTAACATTGTTCATTGCAATGTATTTTCCGTCAAAATTGTAATTTCAGATAACATAACATGTATGAAGTAGACTAGGTCTGAATATTTTGATATATACAATTTTAAAACCGTATAATGTAAATGCCCATATATTTATGCTTTGAAAGATCTTTCAGTATTCGAATGACCATCAAAATAAAGTGACCATTTGTAGTGGTCAACATCCAAGATATTGATCTTCTTTCAGATAACATAAAATTCTTACATTCAAGAGCTTTAAATTAATACATGTATGAAATAGACTAGACTTAATATTTTGATATATAAAGATAATTTTTAAATTGTTCAGCCGATATATTTCTATTTGACTATACACTGGAATAATTATGTAAAATATGTAAATTAGTCTAAATAACAAAATGCTAGACATGATTTACATAATATTTCATACAGTTATATATCATCATTTATATTTTAAAAAATCAATATTTTTAAAGTCATGTATTGGTTTACTTCACGCCCACGAATAATAAATATAATATCATTCTTGATAATTCCTATCACTTTAGATGACAGGTTTCATTTATAACTGATATACATTCACATCAAGTTTCAACTTGCACTGAAAACTTGAAATGTTAAAAAAAGATTGTTTTTGGTCATCCATTATATTGAGCAATATGTGCAAACAAGCAAAGATACTGAAATGCAAAATGTGAACTGTTTGAGTGACAACTGGTGAACCATTCGCTGAATTGCATTCCTTGTTTTATTAGAGTGAACATAAATTTTCTCTCTGGTAATATATGCACAATAATTGGGTTCAAGAACACTAAAGGTTTTGGATTAAAGTAAACAATATAATGACCATAAATTGCTTGTAATATTATTTATGTGTGTTTAAATATCCAGTTGTAAAAATTAGTTTTTGTCTATTATCCCATATTCTGATATGTTTCACATGCTGTGATTGGCAAACGCAGTACTAGAGCAAACCATAATTTAGAGTTTAGACTGAAGTTTCATCTGATGACTAAATTACCATCAAAACAATAAAATACTATTTGACTCTTAGCTCTCTATTGTGTCTACCAGCTATCCGCTTTATAAAAACAAAACCTTTGATTAGCTTGTAATTACATTTAATAAATTACATTATTAGTCCATTAGTCTTGTTATTTTCTAATCTGTTCATCACTAATACCATTTTTAGACATTGTGTTCAGACAATTACATTTCCCTAGACAAATAGTCAAATAGTAAATACATTCCATTCATTTGTATCGTGCTAGCTAATAAGCCAAGCTTCATCAATTTCCCTATATATGTCATATCGTATTAACGTCAACATCGAGAATGGCACCCTTGGTTGAAAATAAGTCAGCAAATATTGAACATAATCCCGATAATGGCTGCCAGCTAGCTTTAGGTGACAATATTTCTCTAAGTGGAAGAGTAGATTTTGTATTCTGTATTCAAACAAACTGTAAGATCCATCAGCAGTTAATAAAAAAATATTTTTGAGTTACATTTCAGAATTTTGAACATTATCTTGTGCTAATAATTGTATTTATTGAAATTTTGACACCAAATGATTGATTTCATTTCTCACCAGTAAAATTTGATGGATGTATAAGAAATGAAATTTATATGTAAGAATTTCACTGAAGATTTCCATGGCGCTAACATAGAGGACTGACATGATCTCTGCAACTAATGGAAAGAATTCTTTCAACAGAGGGAAATAATAAATCATAAAAAATGCCATTTACGTTTAGCATTCACATGGGATTTGATAAATGAGGGTTTTGGTTCTTTAAATCATATATGACTGTTGTTAACAGGATTTTTCCATTATCCTATAACGTCTGTTAATTTTTGATGAAGAGATCTTGTCTGGAAATTTACAGGATCAACTGTTCATCTCATAACACAAGTTCTATTTAGACAATTATTAACTTAAATAACTTTAACCCTATCAGAATATGATTCATACAAATTGTGCAAATTCCTTTCCTTTCATTGTGACAAATACTGTACATAAAGAATCAGTGGCATCAAGAACTGAAATTAGAACTTGTGAGTTTGACCAGTTCAACCCAAAGACCCTACATTAAGAATCCACATAATAAATATTGTAGGCCAGGCAAGTTCAACCCAATGGCAAAGACCTTTCAAGAATCAAAAATATAAACTGTATGCCAGGCAATTTCAAACCAGTAGCAAAGAACAAAAATTAGAACTCAGTACATCAGACCAGTTCAGACTAAAATCTGTAATTACAAGACGTCAACAACTAAGATGATTGTCTCCCTTTCGAGACGATATCTAATCTTGAAGGAGATTATAGTTAGATTCTCACTAATTCAGTTTCAGCACGTACCACAAGTTTCCAAGGATGTTACTACGTAAATGGAAACATTAATCAAATTAATCAAATCAATTTTCTCATCAGAAAGTCGTCTGATGGCATAAACCTGAGAAATAAATACAGAGAGCATAATGTCGGCCATTTTGGTAAATGGAAAAGAGTTCAGAGTTTAGTGTTTTTAATCTATCAATTAAAGAAGTAACTATAAAGAAGTTTTGATGTGGTTTCATTACAGTTGCGCTCTAAATTTGAAGATTAAGCTTATGAAGCCCAAATTCTATTTGGTTATTCCATCAACTGATATTTTTCTGGTTTTTGCCACTAAGATCAAACTTAAAGTTTGGATTAATAGCTAATATTTTGTGATGGCTTAACCCTGTTTTCTATTCAAAGTCTGAGAAAATCATAACAATAAACTAAAGAGTTCTATAACCTATAATCTTTGGACCCAATTTCTTGGCAATCATCTTAAAATCATGGCATCAGATTTGGTTTTTCCTTTTGAGTGCTAATGATTTATGGAGAATCAATTCTGCTATCATCATTATTACACAATCTTCTTTGTATACCAGTTCCATCTTATTCTCTTATGATCACAAACATTAAATAAAACATGGCACTATAAAAAATCTCTAAACCAATTGATTAGAAATGGTTTTCCAATCAAAACTATTTGAAGATTGGAATCTGATGGAATGTGGCATATTATCAATACAACTAGAATTCCAGTTTAAATTTCAATATAAGGCCAAATCAATTTATTTTTTTGTTTTAGGGATTTTCTCTGGAAAAATCTGTGAAGGCAGGAAGGAAAAAAAAAAGTATGTAAGGGAAAGGAGAGAAAAAAAAACTTGACTCAATCCAGGATTACCCTGGATTATCCTTTTTTTTCAGTATTGATTTGATAAAAAATCATATATTTTATTAATAATGGAAGTATCTGATGATAATTTTAATTTTCCATCAAAAATGAAGGTTTTTTTCAGCAGAGTTTATTTTTTTTTTCTTCTGATCCCTGGAAATATAAGGTAGAAGGATCTGTAAAACAAGAAAAAAAAAGTGTCTGGCCTAAAAAAGAAAAATTCTTAAAATGAAATCACAATGCAAAGTGGAATTCTAATCAATTCTTAAAAAATTGAAGTGATACATTCTGGGCTCTAATCAAGAGTTGATAATAATTTAACAGTAATTCATTCAGATAGAAAATATATATTCTTAGTTTAACCAATGTTAATTTCATTTTAGATTAGACGATCAATATTTGAACTAGAATTTTATTTCTGTGACAAAACGCTTGATTGTCTGGCTTGCTAGAGTTTTCAATTCACCTTTAATCTACTGAGTGTTTTTATCAATCACAAAGCAGACAACACTTTAACTCTATCTGAAACTTTCAACAGACCGTACTAAAAAACAAAATGGAATTGTCTGGTACATCATTCTTAAAGTCATTTCCTTATGTTAATGGTTATAATATATGATTATCCAGACATTTTATTGAGTCATAATAAACTTATATGAACGTGTCTGGAAATTTCTGACTCATCAATTCATCTTAATCTGAATTATGTAGATGTTACATTAAAATTTTTGAAAAATTTCTTTGCTAACACCATCATTTTTTGTATATATACAGATTTTAAATTATTGAAGTACATGAAAGTGTTTGTAGAGTTCAGCTAGTTTAATGTATAGTCCTAAAATGAAATTAAAATTTTTCTAGTTGTAAGTGTAGTACCCCCAATACACTGAATTTTGTCTGTACACCTACACTTTAAGATTTCTTCAATATGCATAGTCTATTGGGAATATGTTTATTCCACTTATATCCATAATTAAATAGAATCTATCTGCATGTCAGTCCTTCCTATCTGCATCACTGAGGACAGATAACGTGATCAATAACCTAGAGATGTGGTCTTTTGTCCCTGCAGACAACTAGCCAACTAATCCAATTACCACTTAGAAGCTTCAATAAGGAATGTTTTCAAATCATCCAAAGTCTTGGTTAATTAAGAAAATAAATAACGACAGAATGATAATAGACAATTTATGTTGTAAACTAGAGAAGGAGGCAGAAGAAGATATTGGTGATAAAATGGCCATCCATCAAACTTGATCAAATAATGGTGGATAGAAATCTATCATGATTAATGT